AAAATTATAATAGAAAACTATTAGTTCGACATAAAAATGTCTAAAATTTATATAAAACGAATCCAAACAAATAACAATAGTTTTTGGTTATTATCGAAAAATTAAAAACATCAAACATTTAAACCAATTAAACCAAAATAAATATAGATTTAGAAGGATTGTTATATTTTAGAACATTAAAAAACGTAAAACTGAATCAATATCCATGCTAAACAAATATAATATCATTTTATCTTAAAAGTAACAGAACTAATAATCTCATTCCGCGCAAGGTGTGGGTTATTACCTAGTGTCATATTATTACGATATGATATGATATTTCACGGGTATATGTATAATTACGATATGATATGATATTTCACGGGTATCTATTCTTTAAGAAGTTATTGATATTTCGGTATCTTATAATTAATAAGAAGAAAATTATACTTCACGTTTAGGAAGTTAGTCATATATCCGCATTCAACTATTAAATAACATTTAAATTAGATATATACTTTCTTATTCTTTAGAAAAATCCCCAGTATATGTTTTTTTTAAACAGAAAATCTCAGTTACAATTAAAATTTTTGATTTGTTATTAATTATAAAGAACAATTTCAAATTTTAACAAATAATTATTATATTTACTTCAAAACAATTATAAATAAGAATAAAAATAAATTTACTTGGATACAAAAAAATATTTACTTAAAAGTAAAATACTAAAATTTAATTAATATATATAATATTTGGTTATATTATTACAAATTATTCTTGATGTTTTAACAATTAAAAATTTTGTGCGTTATTCTATGAGGCGTGCAAAATAATTATCAAATAAAAATAAATTGAAAAAAATATTTATTCCTTTTTATTATAACATATTAACATAAACATTAATCAGCATGAAATAAATTAAAAAGATTAATTATACCTAATTTCAGTTTTAAATCTTTCAAAATAAAAATAACCAGGTATACTATTTTAATTTTCATATGAAAATAATATCCGCACTTTGGAATATATATATATATATATATATATATATATATGTCAAGTAAAGTTTCAAGGATTTGGAATAAATTTTGTAAACTATATTTGTGATAAAAATATTAAACTTTTACCCACTACTTTAAACAGGGCGGGTTCAGGTATAATTTTTTCCATTTGCGTGTTAAATTTTTGAAGAAAAAATGATTCAATTCGCAGCAGAACGAGTCGACCTGCAAACCTAGCAATACTTTATATTATGGTACGTATAAAATACTATTAATTATATGATAACACGTATATGATATATAATACTCCCTCCGTTCCTAAAAGATGTATATTATAGAAAAAGAATTGTTCCAAAAAGATGCACTTTTTATCTTTTCAATAAATGATTTAATGAAAAATTGTAAGTTTCAAAAAAATTAATAGTGTTTATTGAGTTTCTATTGGTTAAAAGTTATGGAAAATTGTTATTCACAAAAAATAATGCATTTACAATCAAAATTAAATGAGTTTTCTTAATATTTGTGAAAAGTCTAGAACATGGATTATTTAGGAACAGAGGGAGTACTAATATGAAAAACAAATAGCAAAATATTATGCAAAAATACGTCCGCGCAGGTGCGCGAACAAAATCTAGTTTTATTTTTATATTAAGAAACAAAGTTTCATTCTTAAAAATGCTAATTTTATGGCTGGTTAGTTTTTTTTTACATTAATACATCTTATATGACATTCAGACTTGGATCCTGGATGCATGGCTTATGTTAACTAAATACCTTAAGTATGTTTATTGCCAAGTTTTTAAAATAGAGGTTTCTAACAGATTTTAGAAATCATCTCTTAACTTTTAATTAAAAAAATTAAAAACAATTTTTAAATATCATTTTAAAAAAACTGATTCTTGGCTCTTTTAGTTAAAAATTAAGAGAGGGTTTTTTAATTCCATTTAGAACCTTCTTTCTAAGAATCTTACAATATACATGCTCTTAGCCTTAGGGGTCAAAACGTATATGTATTCTACAGTAGTCTGGTGTTTTTTTACCTGGCTTTCCCTTTTCATAACGTGGTTCGAACTTTCCCCCTACCCATATTTTTATGTTGCTTAACATATTAATTACTGGCCGAAAATATTTTGGGCTTGGGGTCCATCAATCTTCAAACCACGGCCCGCGCAAGAGTGAATAACAAGAACTCAAGCATCACCCAAAGTCACGTGTCTCTTCCATAGTAAGAAGACAGAGGTAAAGCATCTGTTCCATTGATGCCTTGACAGTTTTCTTCTTCTTCTAACACGAAAACAACCATATCCATGTTCTACCTTGCACTCCACTTGAGCAAATAACTGAAATAACAAATACTTATTTTTAACAAGTCAAATACAAGTTTAGATTTCTATTATTCATACAAGGTAAGTATTAAGTATATCAAAATAAGTATCCGGTTTGTGTCTAAATCTAATATATACCATACCAATTAGTCTTCCATTACATTAGTGTTCGTTGTCTATCATTAGCGTTGACTTCTTGACTTCATCTATAAGTCAGTCACCGTATGTAATGTTCCAATAGTAGTGGGGGATTTAGTAGATATGCTCAGACGACTTCTGAGTCAAGTTGAATGATTAACTTTTGCTTATATTAATTATTTTTACTCTGAAATACATAAACGATAATAACCACTTTAACTTTTAACGTGGGAGCTCCGTTGCGAAAAATCACTTCGTAAATAATAGTATAGATATAAATTTATTAATATAAATTCGTTTTAGTTACATAATAATTTTTATATTTTAATTTGAAATTTAAGTTTTATATATAAAGAAAAATTCAAGATAACAACATATTTCACAAGATTATCTTATTTTCTAAAATATGATATATTCATATAAATTCATTTTATTTATAAATAAATTATATGTAAATATTATAAATATGATAAATAAACAAAATTACCTAAACTTATGGAGAACATGACAACTAAGCAAATTTACTTCTTAAATAACAGTATAGAAAAATATATTTTCAAGACAACAACTTAATATACAAGAAGAAACTTATTTTCGAAAATCTGATACTACTAATATAAATTTGTTTTAAATATATAATAAATTATATATTAAATTATAGAAATTATTATAAATGATCAAAATTACCTAGGATCATGGAGACAAATCAAAAAGTTCACTTTTCAAATAATTGTTTTGATTATTTATATTTAAATATTAATAATGTAACTTTTATATCTTAGTTTAAAGTTTTATAATACAAAAATATATTTTCAACATAACAACATAATACATAAGAATTATCTTATTTTAGAAAAATATAAATTTATTAATATAAATTCGTTTTAGTTATATAATAATTTTTATATCTTAATTTAAAATTTAAGTTTTATATATAAAGAATAGTTTAAGATAACAACATAATTCACAAGAATTATCTTATTTTATAAAATATGATATATTCATATAAATTCGTTTTATTTATAAATAAATTATATATAAATATTAAAAAATATGATAAATAAACAAAACTACCTAAACTTATGGAGAACATGATAACTAAGCAAATTTACTTCTTAAATAATAGTATAGATAAGTTATAACTTTATTTCATGTGTGATATTTTTAAAAAAGTTGGACTTACTCTTAGAATATCAAATTTTATAAGTTTATTATTATTATATCTTTTAATATCTTTATATTTTTAGAGCTCCATCCTTTTATTTGGAATACAAATGAATATATCTAAAATGTTCGAAGAAAATCTTTTAAAAATCTCGTTAGAATCTCTTAAAATTTACTTTCAAAAATTAGTTAATTTTCCTTTAACTTATCGTAAAAATATTATTAGAAATTAAAATTGAATTTAGTTTTAGTTTATAAATGAATATTGAAAATTAAATATTTTTAATCATATTCACTCATAATAAGAAATGAAATTTATTAATTTCAAAATACATTCTACTAATAAATTTAAAAGATTTGTTTAAAGTAAATATTTATTTTATTTTAGTTGTTTATATATATATATATATATAAATTCTAGCAAATCTGTTGAAAAAGATTATAACAAGATCTTAATTTTCAAAAGTTGAACATAAATATTTTCACTAATTTCATAATTAGTCATGAAATGTTATTATACATTAATATATATATATATATATATATATATATATATATATATATATATATATATTCAGCTATATTTTATAAAATGAAAAGAATAAAATTATATCATATTTTATCTATTTTCTAATAATATCTATCATTTTTTAAAAAAAACCATTATATTGAACTAAATATGATAAAGTTTTTTTTGAAATTTATAAGTGAATATATTTATGCTTATAAATATTAAATATCTATTCTAAAAATATAATATGTTTGTATAATGGGTTAACATTTGTAAACTATATAATTCATGCATAAAGGTCAGTTTATCTAAACTTTTTATATACAGTAATTTATTATATAAAATGAATAAATATAATAAATTGCTCTAGCGTTTTGAATTACGGGTTACGATTATAAATTATAAACAAAATAACTTTAAATATGTTGTTTCATACATAAGAAATTGCTTTAATAGCCAAACGTAAATTCAATAATAAAATATATAAAAAGAAGAAACAAAGATATGTGATGATTTAAAATTTAAAGCATAAAAACTATAAAAATTATTGTATTTCAAATAATTATATAAATATTTAAATATGTAAGTAATACTAAAAATGTATATTTTGACCCGTAAACAAATATTTATATATAAACATGAAAATATATATCCGCACAGTTGTACGGGCAAAAATCTAGTTTTGTAGCTAAATTAGATGTGAATGACCAAAAATCTGGCCATAGTGTCTTAAATGACTTGGCCAAGATATGAACATTGATAAAAGAACATTACATTAAAATGTAAATAAAAGGGTTTTTTTTTTTTGATGTAAATAAAAGGGGTTAAACCCTGCAAACTCAAAAGTAAAGTCTTTTTATTTCGTGACAAAGATGCCAAGTTGTACTACAAGGAAACCAAATACAATCTGACCAAAAGTATGTAGAAGACAAAAGCAACTGATTCCATCATTGGTTTGATTTTAAACCACTTCTCTTATGTAGCAAACGCCTTAGCTTCCACATCACCTTTTTTCTCCAAAACTCTAGTTCTACAATCATGATATAACAATACACAAGCCACCCATTTGATTATATTCCCAAGACAAATCAAACCAACATAGAAACTAGTGTACAGGACTCCATTTCCACTGGAACTCTCACTACATTTGAGGCATAAACACGGTATCCTCGTCGCAATAGCGAATAACAAGAACACAAGCATCACCCAGAGACCACTCCTCTCGTGTCCTCTTCCATAGTAAGAAGACAGAGCCAAAGCATCTGTTCCATAGATGCCTTGACCATCTTCTCCTTCTTCTAACATGGAAACAACCAAACCCATGTTCCACCCTGCACTCCACTTGCTAAACTTGGCAAGCAAAACTATGAAGATAGCACCATGAAAAATAGCCATCACCGAGCCGAACAAGATCCCACTTGGATTTACATCTGCTTCGAAGCTACTGCGTGTGGTATAGCTGACATCATCTTCTCCAATACTAATGTAATAGTAGTATGGTTTGTCAATAGTTCCCATCAGAGATATTATGTACCAATAGTTCGTTGCTGCGAAGAAGAAACCGAAGAAAACAGAGGTTGACAAGAGGAGGATATAAAGAGATGTGATCAGACAACCTCTTATTCTGTTCAGACATATCTCCACGGTTCTCCGAACCAACTGACTGAGCCCTAACGGTTCATCTTGGCAGGTGTAGACGATTGAAGATGCTGAGACTATGGTAGTGGTGTTTAGGAGGTCAAAAAGGCTGTAAGGAAACAAGTAGAAGAGAAATGTCTGGAGAAGTAACGAGATCAGGGTTTTCAACAGGGCATGGTCTTGAGGAGCTGTGTAGTAGTAACCCCAATACTTGACTTCTCGAGAGAAGTATTCAGAAGCGAGTAAGATAGTGGTTTGGAGGGAGAGCTTGAAGAGGATCAAGAAACAAAAGAGAGGGAGAGTGCAAAGGAAGAGGAAGAGAAGAGGATTTATATTACCGCAAAGTAGCTTCGTTGCTCGTTTGAGTACATCAATGAACTCAAGGTTCTCCTGAATCTTCATCTCTCTTCTTTCTCGCCAAACAAGAAGATGGAAGGTCACAGGTTTTACCAGTTTGCCGTGTGTTTAATAATGTTGTTGATATACAGCAAAAGGTCGTTTTCCATTGACGCATCGACGTTCACATTGACTTGGTCCACAAGTCCGGCTACAATTCACTCTCATATAAGAATCTTCATGTCATGAGTATGTATTGTAAAGGGAATGCGTCAGTGGAAAACCAAATCATGATCACGGAAGACTCATTTCATACAAAAGAAAACATCCACAAAGTGTTACATGTAGTTTTAACTTTAACCTCCAAACAAAGATTATGGTACCACTAGTTCTGTAACAAAGATGCTGAAAACTAGAGTGACCAAACAATGAGCAGAGAACCTAAGTGCTGTGCAAAACTATTGGCGAGCCGAGAATGAGGTATAGGTAGAGGAAAGGACGGGGTGACGAAACAACTTCGTCTTTCTCATCAGAAGCTTGGTTGCAGATCGGGTAAGAGTGATGAGCAAAGAACAAGGTGATCTAAAGTAACAACATGCAAATCTAGCTGGTGATGGTGGAGATGATGATGCAGATTGATGGGTTGATGATGACAAAGCTAAGTTGTGGGAGACTAAGATGCAGCGCAGCTGCCAAGAGATCCCAGTATCTAACGAGAAATCATACCTCACAAGCAAAAAAAAAGAGTGAAAACACTTGAACCTTTTAGATATGTCACAAGAATGAGACATAAGAAAACAGTATTCAATAAAACACACCAGAAGCATATATATATGGATGATATAAGTAATATTATAGTCAAATAAAGCATGAAAACGACCTTAGGGTTCAAGCACGCTGAAGACAGCAAGCCAACACGGTCGACAGTAGTCCAGTTTAACAAGAACAAGACACCGAGCCGTTGGAGAACAGCTTGACGAAGAATTCCAAATCACATAAAAGTCTTACTAAGATGCCACTACACCACAGAGTCCATGCTCAACAACAACCAACCCTAGAAGAACTAATATCATAGCAAACACATCCTAACGGGCACAGCGACGCTCATCATAGTTCCACCTTCTTCTTCAGTAACAGTCTCACACCCTGCAAGACAGATTAGAAGAGAATATGAGTCACTGACAAAACTGAGTATATCAAAGAATTATGATACAGGAAGTGATGTTGCAGCTGTTCAGACTGAAGTTTCATACGTCAAGAAGTTATGATCTAACTAGCCTAAGGCTGAATGTGGTAGAGGTGAAGCCTGTTGTGTCAGCTTAGATTACCTTCACAAAAATGTTTAGGGATCGTAGACTCTAGGGTTGTTATTGGTCTTGAGGTCTAGAGTTGAGATATATACTTAATCAAAGTCTATAATGTGATAAAGGCTTAACAAAAATTACTTTAAAACGTTATATAGATATAGAGACAATGCCGGCGTTTAGATATAATCATATTAAGGAAACTAGGAATTACCCATTGGCATATGGTGAACGTCTGCCATAGGGGGAGTCTCTGCGGCGAGGGGAATCACGTCTTGAGCTACGATAAGGTGGTGGGGATCTGCTGTAGCGGCGAGGTGGAGGTGGACTCACACTACGACGCCTCGGAGGAGATCTTCTTCCACGTGGGCTGATGCTCCTGAACAAGATGGATTCCCAAGGAACAACAAAAAAAGCATCCCATTAGTGATCATATCATGAATCATCCTATACCTTTTTAGCAACTCACAGTACTTAAAAGAACAAATTTAAGCAGCTTGATAAGAGTGTTTTAGTTAAAACTCACCTGCGTCCATAGCCATAATCAGGACTCCTACGACGGCGAGGGCTAGGGCTTCTACGCCTTCCATAGCCTCCTCCTCGACCACGTCGACACTCCCTAGCAAAATGACCAGGCTCTCCGCACTCATAGCACTTGGAGTCCTCAATACCACCACGACGGCCACCTCCACGACCTCCCTTATCTTTGTGAGAAAGCTCCACACGCCACCCATTCTTCCCTGAAGAAAACAAAAAAAAAAGTTACAATCTTAGCAATAAAAGTAAATCAAAATCAAAGTAACAAGATACAATCCAAACATGGAGACTAAGATAGCAACTAATGAGAAGAACACTGACCATCCAAAGCCCTGATTGCATCCAAAGCATCTCTTTCATCATCGAACTCGAGGAAAGCGTAGCCTGGTGGCCTACGAGCTACCCAAACACTGCGATTTGATCTCAACCGTCGAAAATTAGGTTAACTGTTCAGAAAACAAACAAAAAAAGTTACTAAAAAGTGTTGAAAGCTCAGAGATTTACTTGCGAAGGACGCCAAAGATTCTGAATTCATCTTCGAGTTCTCTTTCGGTGACACGAGGATCAAGATTTCCGACATAAACCCTTGTCATGTTGCGAAAGAAGACAAATCTGAAACGGACGGACAAAACCCAGAAAAAGAAAGTTATCCACTTCGGAAACTTGCTACGACTCTAATGAAAAGCTGGGAATCGAGAGGTCTTACCGGGGAGTGAAGGATGTATTAGGGTTCCGACTTGGGAGAGGAAAGTGAGCACGAATGTTAGGGAATGGGGACTGGTAAAGTAATTTAATTAGATGAAAAGTTTGCAAGTAAAACCCTTTATTTTGAGAGATGTTTACTCAATAAGTCTGATATTTCATAAAAGGGACACCAAACCCACACTCTTCGGATATTCCATTTGTGTTCAAAAAAAAAAAAAAGATATATTTTTGTAATATGGAAATTATTGTAGGATTTACTATCTTTTTAGAAATTTAATAAGTTTGTTTAGCTCGAAACACTAGTAGCTAAGGCTAACCAAAAGAAAAACTGAATCAAACCATAAGGTTTTGGATCCGTATTCGACTTGAGATGTAAATATATCTCTATAATATTATTTGAGAAGTCAGTTTCATACGTGTCGCGTTCACGTTAACTCTTGCAATGGTTGATTACATCAATACCCTTAATGAATTGTTAAATTTTAAAATTATTTTTTTTATTTAGTTTTTTTTTTTAACTTTTTCCAAATAACATATATAATAAAAGAAAGTATTTCTAAAATTTTAAAACAAATTTAAAAACGAAAATATATGTATATAATATGATTTTATTAAAAATGAAAGTTCACAAAATAGTAATACCTCCATTAATATATATTTTAAAATAACATAAAATATATTTTAAAAATAAGAAAATATATATGTTAATGAAAATCCACCAATTAATCAGTTACACTTTATTTTCTAATATTTTTTAGAAATCAACATATAATTTGATAAATATTATGAAAATACATGTATATTTAAGCGATAAATAAAAATAATTTAATTTGACTTAACTAAAATAAAAATTAATTATACTTTAATTTTAATTTAAAAAATATATTTTACTCAATATACTCATAAAATTAATGTCTCGACTGATCTAATTTATATCCAAAATTAAAAATCTAACTACAATAAGAACAAATAATTTTATAATAATAATAATAATAAGAATAATAATAATAATAATAAAAATAATAATAATAATAATAATAATAATCTATTTAATTTTACATATATAAATTAGAGGTTGAATCAAAGCATATTAAAAAGAAAAAAATATTAACTAATTACAATTTAATTCTTTTTAGAATTTATATATATGCATGAGATTTCAAAATATTATCATTATATTTATTTATATAATTTTGAATCAAACACTTCAGCTTATTATTTATTTCATTTTAAGCATAATATATATTAAGTTATACTTAATTTAATTATAATACATTTACATATCTAATAATATACTAGACCTTGACCCGCCCGATGGGGCGGGTATTTATTTTATGTATTTATTTATATTAAATGATGTATTTATAATATTTAAACATAAACTTTGATTGAAAATTAATCTTTACAGTTATAATAATTCAATTTAAAAATTTTAAAAAATATTCTGATATAAATTTTAAATTTCTTAATTAAAATAATATAGAGGTGGGCAATAATTTTTTCCAATTCCAAAATCTTATCAACCCTTTAAAAAATTATAAAGACTTAAAATATATATAAATATGTGTAACTATAACTTCTCTAATTTCTTAAAGACAATAAAATATCATTTCTTACTAATAAATCTTAAAATATTCAATATGTTAATACCAAATATATTAGGAAATTTATTCTGATTAAGATTTGACTAAGGAAATATATTATTTAAACTATGAAAAAATATTAAATACTTAAATCTATTATCTAAATTAGGAAAAGACAAGCATGCTTAAATATATGTTCAATAAATATCTCAATGGCATTCTATTGTAAATAACTGAGAAAATTAAGGGTTATTTCTATTTGGTACTTCTATTTTAATAATATAGATTTACATATGTAAAGACAATAACCAACCAAAATAAAAAAATGAAGTTAATCAAAGTTTTCTTATATTTAGAATAAAAAATAATATTGCTGAATTCGAAAAATATATATTATTCAATATACCAAAATTGATAACCAAACCGACAATTGATCCAAAAAATAATTAAACCGACAATAATGTATTCAAAGTCATATGTATAATTAGAATAATATAATATTTTTAATATAAATTATATATATAAATTGATTCAAAATTAGAACTAAATATCAATCAATTATTATAAAATTTTATTCTTATGAATATTTATATCCGTGCATGAGCACGGGAAAATCACCTAGTTCAAATGTATTATGCAGGATGATATACTCAAACTATGAATTATATGAAATTGAATTATTATTAACCGAATCTAAATAAATAATCTGAAGAATCTAAAAATCTGAACAACTCGCAGATACTCAATCTAAAGATTCAAATAATATTTATAATAATTATCTCAAACTAAAATAAGTATTCAAATATTCAATTTCAATTTTAGCTCGATAAAATATCTAAAATTTAGCATTTAAAACTAAATAAGTACTTTAAATACTTTATTCTATGATTATTTTATACAAAACCCTTTATGACTTTTGTTTTGAAATAGTTGACGTTTTCCAGAAGCCATACAAAATCCACTTGTAAATGACTTTGCTTATCTTTGCATTTTTATTATACACTAGATCCTTTCTCCGCGCTACGCGCGGATAATATATTTAAATTTCTTACTTTTTATTTATATGTGAATTTTTGTATATAAATTATATTTAGCTAATTTTGAAATTTGATGTTTTTTATATTTCTAGATTGAAGAAATATTTGAATATAATTCATTAGTGGTAATGGATAATTTAGTTATATAAGTATCTACAATACACCATAAAAATTATATTATTGTCAAATATGTTTCTATTATACGTAACACAATTAACTAATAAAATATGAAGAATCAAGTTCAAGATTTTAGAGTTAAAAAAAAATTATGTATATAACATAAATTATCTTATTTTAAGAGATCATAACTCATCCCGAATAAATTCACGAAAAGAAAAAGTACTCCAATAACCTACTTAAAATATAAAACCCCCTTTCAAGAAAAAACATACTTAATAATTTTTTTTACGTGTAATAGTTGAAAAATGAAAATTGAATATCGATCTAAAATATTATTTTAATATATCTAATGGTAAAATATTAAATGTAATAAACAAATTTTGAATTTTGTAATATTACATGAATTAGAGGTCTTTAAAATCTAAAATCTATTTTATTAACATAATATATTTTATGCATTTATTATTTTGTCCTTACAAAATATTACTTTAGTTTATTTGTATATTATTATTTTTTAATAATTTAGTTTCTTTTAAATAACTTTAAAATTATCAAGAATATAATATATTTAAAATTATTTATTTAAATATATTCAAATATGATGTCTCATTTTTATGTGTGTTTGCGTCGAGCATATTTAATTTTTAGTTTGTAGATTTTATATACGTTTTATTGAGCTTAAATTAATATTTACTGTTGCTATTTGTTTTTTTTGTTAGAAATTATATACTTGTATAGTTTTATAATATTTTTTTTTAATTTATGCAACTAATATTTAGATTTGATGAATATTTGCTTTGCATTTCGAACTGGTAAAATTTGGTTTTGTTTACTTGACTGGAAAATAATCAACGGACTTGTTTTGTAATTTTGAAGCAATATATTAGAGTGGCCGCAATAACATAAAAGAGGATTTTAAGAACTTATGAATCTACCGAACAAAATTAAAATTTAACTGCATAGCTACTAAATAATTGAAAGTTTGTGCATGAATGTGATATGTGATTGTTTTTTTCTCGTAATGTGTTACTGATACGCAGTGGCGGATCCAGCCGATGATTTAAGAGGTGTCAAGGCCGGGATTGAACACTGGTTTAGGGGTGTCAATTGACAATTTCTACCAGAATTGCATTAAACTCTCACCTTTTTAAGCATATTCTTAAGGTTTTATAAATTTATGGGGTGTCACATGACACCCCACCTCTTTGAATGGATCCGCCACTGCTGATACGTAAGAACAATGTTTCCTTTTTGCGAATATGCATTTGGCATCAGAGTCCATCCTACACTAATTGCTTACTATTTGATTATTTTTGTTTGGAAAGGGTAATGGGCTAGTGAAGAAAAAAAAGGAAAGGGTAATGGATTTGCAAACTGGACGTCTTATGTTAGAACAATAAATGATATAAAACTTTTATAGTAGTGAGACTTGTAAATCTAAAATCTAAGAACAATGTTTGGCTTTCGTAAATATACATTTCGCATTAGTCCATCCTCTCCACTAATTGCTTAATATTTGCTTATGATTTGTTAGGAAAAAGGTCTTTTTGGCAAACATGACGCTTTATTTTATAACTGAAAAAGTCTGATATGTAGAGGTTAAAAAACCCAAGAAAACCAATGACATAAAAGTTTTGAAGTAGATGGACTTGATAATGTCTGGAAATGCAACGTAACCGTCATCATTTCTTGTACCTTTGGTTCCCCTTGCTCTTTCGATGGCATGCAGTTGGTGCTTTCTTTCTAGAGCACCCATCTTCCTTAACTGGTGACTCCTCCCCTCTCCCTTTCGGTGGACGCTGAATGGTTTCTAAAATGCGGGAAACAGTGAAGCTCTGACTTTGTAGTCAAGTTGAAGTGGGATAGGTTCAATCGGAAGGTTAAAGTGCTCCCAACATATCTTGTAATTAAACACTGTGGAAGCTCCCACTCCTGTGAGTTTTGGGTACCGGTGCCGTCCTTGATTTGCACTGGAATACATCATTTCTCAAAAATAAACAAAGTATAAAAGTGTAAGTTGTAAACAAATAAGTATCAGCTACGGCTTCACCTGCTCAGGTTTGTTCTTCGGTATAAACATTGCTTCATCAAAATCCTCTAGGCAATGAATAATTAGAAAAAGTAAAGTAAAACATGTTGGCAACACACTATACTAAGCTTCTAGAAAAGTTTCAGAATCAGATTTCAATAAAATTTTCTAATAGTTTAACCAGTAACAAAACAATATTTGATTTAAACAGGGAGTAACATCTTATAGAGTTAATTTTCTTACATGTACAACCATATCGTCAGTGTTCCAAAAAAAA